TTGGAGCTGTTCTCATTGCTCCCGTAATTCCCAAGTAGGCCGTCCTTTGCAATTCGCTTAGTTCAGCATGACTTGCTTTAAGTTTAACTCTAGACCACCATATAGTGGCAGCATAGATAATTTTAGATCTTACTACAGCAGTGTATATCCAATACACCACCTTTGGTTTCAGTCCCAGGTTTTTCCAAATGTTTCTCTGCATGTCCAGAAGGCCTTGTCCATCTGTTTTTTTATGTCAGTCCCTTGTCTAATGTTATTCCAAGGTACTTGACTTCACTGGATAGCCGGATCACTTGACTGAAGAGGATTGGTTCCTTAAGCCCCTTTATATTTCTCCTCCTAGTAAAGGGTATAATTATGGTTTTGTTCGGATTGATCAACAAGTTTGTTCTTTCACACCACTGTTGAACTGTGTGCAGGGCTGTTAGTAGGACCTCTGACAGAGTGTGAGGGAATTTCCCAAATATTAGGATTGCTATATTATCAGCATATGCTACTGTGTAATGACCTTTACTGTTGAGCTCCCAAAGAAGTTCATCCACGACCAGGCTCCACAGCAAAGGGGAAAGAACACCTCCCTGCAGACACCCTCTCACCGCAGACGTTTCTAGGGTCTCTCCAGACAATGTAGCACTTATATTCCTGCTTTCCAGCATAGCACAGATCCATCTGCATATTGTGGGCTCAATGCCATGTCTTTCCGCAGCCTGTTTTATTGTGTCAAAATGATTCTATCAAAGGCTCCCTCTACACCCAGGAATGCTCCAGGGGCAATATCATTGTGTTCAGTTGCATTTTCTATACATGCAACCACATTATGCAGTGTGGTTTCAGTAGATTTACCTGTTTGGTAAACATTTTGGTTTCAATGCAGAGAATGAATCTTCAATGCACCGTCCCTAACGTATCTATCTACTACTTTCTCTGTCGTTTTGAAAAGGAAAGATGACAGGCTGATAGGACAATAAGCATTAGCCTTAGTATAATCAAGTTTCCCGGGCTTCATTATAAATGTCACTTTGACTTGCCTCCAGGCTGTAGGGATAAACCCATTCGCCATGCAGGCTCTGAATATGCGGCATAGGTGTGGGACTAAATGTTCCATCCCTTGCTGCGGAAGTGTTGGAACAATTTCATCTGTTCCCGCAGACTTACATATTTTGAAGGTACCTAATGCCCATCTAATTTTTTATTGATTGATTACCCCACCAGCCAGGTTCCATCCTCCCCTGTTCATTATGTGTCTACATATGCCCAGGTTCTGCTGGACCCGCCCATCACCTGAATCATCAATCAGCTTTGAACCAGGGAAGTGAACTCTGAACAGTTCTTTCAGTGTCCCTTTCCCAGTTTGAGTACCCTTACCATCAGGCAGCTTGATAGTACTGACTTTGTTGGTCACCTGTTTCGCTATGACCCTCATGAGTCTGGCACTGCCTGGTACATCATTGATCTGGCAGTAACTCCAAGAGGATCGCTTGGCTTTCCTTAGTTCTTCATTATAGCTGGTGAAGTTTTCTATGTAGGTGTCCCACAGCCCTGTTCTTTTTGCTATATTAAATAGCTTTATTGTTTTAACTCTTAGCCCACTCAGCTTGTTATTCCACCAAGGTGCATTACTTGGTAAGCGAGTTGTCTTGGCTGGACAGTTATGATAATAGGACAAGAGAATGGCCCATTACAACTTGTCAACAGATAAATCTATGTCTCTTATCATGCTTATATTTCGTGAAATAATATACAGATACAACTTTAGGTTGTCCTTGTATGACTCCCAGTTGGTTCTCCTAGAATTCCTAAAGGTAACTTGTTTTGTGGTTATGCCACCTATTAGAAGGCATATGTATCTGTGGTCCGATAAAGACGGCTCGCCAGATACATGCCAGGTTTCCTATTTTATTTGTCCCTAGTGTCCAGTCAGTAACCTCCATCCTATTGCGGACCATGAATGTAGGTTCATTACCATGATTTAGAATATTCAGGTTCAAACTCACCAGAAATTCCATAACGTTTTCTTCCCTTTGATTGGTGCCGGTGCTCCCCCACAAAATGTGGTGTTCATTGGCATAACACCCAATGATGAGTTGCTTTCCCTGCAATAGCAGCAGTCTCTGATGTCCCTCATTTCCTTAGTTGGTGATGGTTCATCTGAGTCATATGGAAGGTAGACTGAAGCAACTTCAAGTCCATGCAACCTCCTCGATACATGTATATTTTCCTCAACGCTGTTGCGTCCCTATAACAGTGCTGCAGCAAAGGTAAGGCATTAATATGATTCCTGATATAAACACAGGATATTGCATTATTGCCAGGTGCAGCAGAGTAAACTTTTCCCCCTGTGTTGGTTAAACATCTTATTTGACCCTTGTATAACCAATGTTACTGAATAAGTGCTACATCAGCCTTTCCCTCAGCTAGTTGCTGGTATAAAGCTGCCATGGCTGCTTTGCTGTGGTGTAGGTTAATTTGAAGGAATTTCGTGTTATGTATATTTATTGTGTATGTGTAAGTGTTTACTGTTCTGTCTTAGCCTCAGACTGGGTTCCATTTGAGGGGGTCCCCTGATCTGCTCTGCTTTAGTCTGAGGGAGTGGGTACATCATCCCCCTCCTCCTCAGAGCCTGATTCTGAAGGTGCTATGTCTATCACAGTTTCTATATGGTACTGAGCCTCAGGGTTTTTCAGCACTTTAACAGTCCCCTGTGAGATTCCTGTAAATATCTTAAGTTTTCATGGAGATGGTTTCTTGGAAACAATGCATCGCTGGGTCATGAACAGATGTTTCCCTGCAGATAGATACTTGGAAAGAGACCATTCCTGAGTGATAGTCATTTCCTTGGATATGAGACTGAAGATGTTTTGTCTGGCGGTCCTTCTTGACGTTATGTAACAAGAAACAGAAATCGAGCTGGAAGTCAGAATGAAGCTCATCCGTGTATGCATTTTAGTAACAATAAATATTTGTTATAGAAGTTAACTATGTGGTTATCTCTTCATGCATCGACAGTCCCACAAATGTGAATTAGCGATAGCGCTGTAATTGAGTGTAGTTATGAGTTGCGTGCGTTCAGTAAATCCATTTACCTGTCCAAACCCATTGACTAGTCGCAACATATGTGATATATTAAAGATACCTCAGGCAATGGACAATGTCCAGCATAGTCAGCTCATTAATCAACTGTTAAAACATTTCTGTCACTAGATGGCACTGAGTATGACATACCGGCGTTTAGAATAAAGAACAGGTTTTTATACCTACAGTCGTTTGAAGTTCAATTAAGGGAGTATAACTAACTAACTACCTCCATAAAGCTCGAGTCCTTCTTGAGGCATCATTCAGCTACTCAAGAATTTCCCAGTATTATGTAGAACCTGAAAGTTCAATACCATGTTCACAAGAAGGCACCTCAGGGCTCTGTCCTGAGCCAGTTGAAGCTGGACCATAACACCCAATTGTATTTCTCTAAATCTGTTTCAGTATTATCCTCTCACTTATGGCCATGTCTTCCTAGTGGTCTCTTTCTTTCTCACTTGCTTCTTTTCCCCCATGTGTGCTACATGCCCTGCCCATCTTGTCCTCCTTGACTTGATCATTCTAATAATATTTGATGAATGGTGTGAGTTATGAAGCTCTCATTATGCAGTTTTTGCCAACCTATTATTTCATTCCTATTTATTCCAGATGTTCTCATCACATCCTTTTCAAACACCCACATTCTGTGTTCTTCCCTAATGCCAGAAACCAAGTTTATCACCCATATAAAACTACAGGCAAAATTATTGCTTTGTATATTTTAATTCTCATGTTTTTAGACATCATATGTGAGGGCAAAAATTTCTGAATTGAATGATACCAAGAATTACCTGAATTTTATCTGCTGTTAATTTTCTTGTGGATCAAGATTTGATTTGTTGCTGTTCTTCCAGAATATTTTACCCTGCATTCTAATGACCAGACATCAACATATACATAGCTTTCCCTGTGTTTATTTCTGGACCAACCTTGTTACTAGTGTCTATTAGAGTTTCTGTGTTTTTTTACATTTGTGTGATTCTCCGGTATATGTGCATCATCAGCATAGATTAGAAGCTGATATGTCGCGTTCATTTTGGTTTTCTTAGACTTCTGTAATGGTATATTCTGAAGCAAATGTAAATAGGAACAGCAGTTTGTTTTAGATCATTTGAATAAGAAATATGTCAGACAAATATTTACTTATTCTGTCTTATGCTGCAACCACATTAACCTAGAAACAATTTTGTTCCTTCAGGGCTGTAGTTGTCTGGTGGGACCTGGCAGTTAAAGGTTTGATACATCCATATCGATGTTTCTTGAGAATCACACAGGCAGATTCTGTGACTGTGTTGCAGGTACATGACAACTGGGAAACATATAGGAAAAGTGCTGGTGCAGATTCGACAGGAGGAAGACAACAAAGTGGTTGTGCCTGTACCACGGCTGATGAAGGCTTACCCGCAGTACTTCTGCAACCCCAGCTACAGTTATATAATTGCAGGTACTGAGTGTTCTTACACTTTCCTCCTGAACATTAAGAGTATGCACATGCTCACTCTCACACTGAGGCCTGCTTGTTGTGAGAGTGTTTGTGAAATGCAGACTTACAGATCTGCACTTGTGGAATATTTAAAGGTACATAAATGTTTTGTCACTTTTCATTGTGGAGGTAAGCAAAACCATGGAAATCTCAAAGTGCTCTCAGTGCTCAAGAAATAACAAGATGATGTCCCCCTATGTCAGTAGAATACAATACAATACATGTGATGTCCCAGTTGAGCTGCATCCACATCACTTCCCACATAAAATTCAGGTGCATTACAGTGGGGTTATCCCTGCTTTGCTTCTGGCAGTTACTGTATAATTGCACAAGTCCAAAGAGAAATATGAACATGTGTGATATATGGCATTGTTGCATTATATAGGGGGCTTGGGAGGTTTTGGTCTGGAACTTGCTGGCTGGCTTGTGTTACGAGGTGCTCGTAAACTGGTACTGTCATCTCGGAGTGGTGTAAAAACTGGCTACCAGAGCTTCCTTATGAGAATATGGCGCAGCTATGGTGCAACAGTAATCATTTCTCTTGCCAACATCACCACAAAGAGTGGTGTAAGAGCTCTGTTGTCAGAAGCAAACAGACTGGCCCAGGTGGATGCCATATTCAACCTGGCTATGGTGAGTGTCATGAATGGTCACATTTATCTAACTCATACTGACTAAATCATGAAATACTAACACAAAGATATCAATAGAATAAATAATAATGATATTATGCTCTTGTCTGCATGCACCACTGTGTGCAATCATTCCAAAAAGATTTATTTATATCATTTTTCAACCACTTGAACAATATTGTGGCATGTAGACTTGTTGCTAGGCAATGACTGCAAAGGCAGCAGCTGTACTTCAGCCATTGCTAAGTAACAGCTTCACAAACAATCATGTTTCCAAGGCAACAATTACATAGCAATAATGGAATGGTGTTTTCTGTGCAGTCCATGTCCAGAGGTTATAAGTGGGACAGTTAAATAGTGAGAGCCAGTTGAGTTGAGTTGAGTTGAGCTGAGTTCAATTGAGTTCAGTTGAGTTAATTGATTGGTGAGTGACTGAGTCACTCAGAGAGTTGGAGAATTGCTGAGTTTCCATCATGAGCTGTTTCTGTGAGAAGCTGATAAATGAGGCTGGGGACAGTTCAGGAACACAGAGCAAGGGGAATGTCTGCCATTGGAAGCTGCTACCAAGCAATGGCTATTGAAGACTTGACTCTGGATCAGTGGCGTGCCATGCATGGAAGCAAGGGAAACATTGCTGCCATAGTTAAGAAACGAGAAGAAAAGAAGTCGTACATAAATAATTCAGTTTGAATGATAAGGATGTGAATATTGTCATCTTAACATTTTAGCGTATGTTCCTGTTCAAAGCCACATACCTACTCCTCCCTTCCCCTGCTTGGTGGGCCAGACCAAGTTTCCTTTCATTAATCTTCATATGAATTTGTCTCACCCGAAGTCATCAAGGGAAGCATGCTTTGTTTTGCTGGCTCTAGGTGTGTTTTTTGGAAGTCAAAGAATTGTGTTCTTTTGATGGTTATGTGAAAATGAACTGTGTATGTGTGATTTCAGTCTTGTTGGGTGTTATAGGTAACATTAAATTTTATTAGAATATTGTAAGTGCATATTTAGATGTCATAAGATTGTATTTGTGATCGTATTTTGATGCATCAGAAAAAGCTATCCCCATTTAGGGGAAGCAAGTGTGATATTGTGGTACAAGTGGCAGGGGAGTGATTAGGCTACACGCACATGGCACAGCTAAAATGAATGCTGGCAGACAACGCGACTGCGACTGTGCAATCGAAAGCCGTTTAAAACGGGGGGTTCAATAGCAGGTACTTTTCTGGAAAGAAAATAATTATAGAAAGAGGACGACTGTGTGAGGATATTTAATTTGGAACAGCATTCTAAAACAGAGTGGCTATCTGGTTGCCGTAATATAGGAAAATTGTTTTGTTGGCCATGCCTTTTGTTTCTCAGTGAAAAAATGTATGGAACAAGACTGGGTTTCATGATATCAACAACCTTCATAAAGCATTGAAACAACATGAGAACTCTCAGGCTCACATTATTTCAATGGTGCAACTTGTTATATTTGGGAAATCTTGAATTGACTGTCAACTTGACAATCAAAAGGGCCTGATGATACGACAGCATAATGAAAATGTGAAAGAAAATAGAGAAATAATGAAATGCTTGATTGATATCATCTGCCATTTAGGAAAGAGGCAACTTGCCCTCCGTGGTCATGATGAAAGCATGGATTCTATCGACTGAGGTAATTATGTGGAATTAGTTCATTTGTTGAGGAAATCTGATCATAAACTCAATGTTCACCTTGAGAACAGTACAATATTTACAGCTTTATCGAATACAAAACGGAGAATAGATTTGGTCTTCAAATAAATTTTGGTTAGTTGATTGCTATCAGTTCGTTTATTAGATACCACTGCTTCCCTTACCAAAAATAGTACCGCACACCTCTGCTCTGGATACTAGTGTGTGTTCATGTGTGGGTGGGTGTTTAGTCATGCATTGTATCAAAGAGCCCATTGAAACTTATCTTCAATAAAGAGTCCATCTATAGTCATTCACACACGTGGCAATATTCATGCCACGGAGTTATCGAACGTTCAGGATATTTGTTTCAATAATTAACAGCATGGTGTATGGTCTCTTAAGGAACTGATAATCACTTGATCCAGAAATTCTTCTCCTTTGGGACATCCACAACAAGCAGTTGAAATATGTGTCTGTGAGATTTACCATGGTTATCTTTCTTTTGGAGTATATCCACTTCACAACCACTGAACAGATTTTCATGAAATCTGATGTAGGGATGTTTTACCATTTTCGTCAAGATATTGCAATTTGGGTTAAAGAAAATAACTTGCACATTACATGATGAGTGTAATTCATGAAATATGTATTTGGCTGATAAGTGTTTTCAACAAACTTTGCAGAGAAAAATAAAACATGTGTTCTGTGGCCAGTTCACTTTTTCTATGTCGTATGTTTTTCCAGAAAATGAAACAAGGAAGTTTAAGCTGTTCCATCTGATAACTCGAGAACCATTAGATTGAGTTTTGTAAAATTATATGTTAAGGTATCTTCACAAATTTGTTAATTTACTTAAAATTTTATGCTGTAGCACACAAGGGAAGTGGTACATTATGTGGAAGCCCAAATACAGATTTCTGGATCATAAACAATGTGTGGTGCAGATAGTGCAAATATTCATCTAACAATGCAAGGATCTCATTCCATTGAATTGTGTACGTAGGAATTATGACACACACAAATAAGGAAAACTTAAAAAAAATGTTCTGCTGAAGACTGTAAGCCACAGGAGTAGCACCTTCCAGCCCAATGCCCTCCCCTCGTTCATGCCCCTCCCCCATGCATCCATTTCGTCATTTGTTTATCGTTATCCCATCATTCCATGTAACACGTGAGTTCCCTTTCCTCCCTTGTTTAGAAAGGCAGACCACCATTGGTGTGAGTAGAGATAAGAAGGCACTCTTTGCTTGCCAGCAGTCGGGCAACGTAAATTGTTAACTTCTGTTTTGACTGGTCTTTCCAAATTGTGTTTGGACACTTCAATCTGGCCATTGAGGGCAAGGGGCCTCCTCATTGAAACAGTATGTAATTTCCAATTGTCAATAGATTTTCTGTCAAGTGCAACAATATATATTTTGGTCACTTATTTATCTCATCTGCCTTACATGTTTCGGTTCCAAGGAACCATCTTCAGAGGCACTTACAACAAATCATGAAAACACTGGCACAGCTCAACATCCACAGTATGTAATTATTTGTGGAAACTATTACATATATCGGAGTGTTAAGCACAACACTTCCTAGGATCTTGAATGCAGGTATAGCACTTGCATCTAAAAAACCACCCTCAAACCGAGTCGTCAACGTTAAAATTTTTAAGTTAAAATTTTTTAAAAAACGTTCAAGTAAAATATTCAGGCTCCTTCTTGGTGAATCGTCCCAATGGGGGGAGGCGTCAGCACGGGGTTGTGTGGGCTTGTGGTCGGGTGTATCTTACGCGATGTG